GATTTTAACATAAAAACATCAAAAACCCAATGGTTTTTTAAGAAAAAATTGTCAAAATGTTCTTCCGCGCGCTCTTGCGGATTCGTAGGAAAACCAACACTTTTTAAACAATTCTGTCAAACGGGCTTTTGCGAGCAACTTTTTCGAACTTCTGCGACAACGGTTGCGCACCTGCCAGGGCCATCATCCCTGTCAAATAATACCATGCGGGACACATTCGTTTTTTCTTCGCGCGCGCACGCCGAAATCTACAAAAACCATTGGGTTTTTAAGAATGTTAGCACCGCGCATCATAAAATCACACGAATCGCACCGTAGCTCTCCTCTGGCTCTCTGTCTTGCTCTCTCTCTCTCTCTCTCTCTCTGTCTCTCTGTCTTGCTCTCTCTCTCTCTCTGTCTTGCTCTCATATCATGCGCAACAAATGCACGATGCGGGGCACATGCGGGGCCCAAACAAGTGATTAACCTCTGCGGGTGTGTACTCCACGCCAGTGTAGTATCCACGATCGTCCGCGCGCCACGAAGTGAAGTGTCCTGACGTCATAGGGCGGGAAGCTGGGTGTGGGTGGTTCCCGAGAGTCGTGTGGATGTTTGGTAGAGCTTGCATTGCCCCCCCACGAAGTGGGGGTATTGGCTGGCGTCGCATGAAAACCCTGGCACTGGGGAGAACACTGAGCGTTCGGGTAAAATGATTGTTGTTGTTGTTGTTGTTGCTGTTGTTGCTGTTGTTGCTGTTGTTGCTGTTGTTGCTGTTGTTGCTGTTGTTGCTGTTGTTTTTGTTGTTGCTGTTGTGGTTGTGGTTGTGGTTGTGGTTGTGGTTGTGGTTGCTGTTGTTGTTGCTATTGTTGTTGTAGTTGTTGTTTTTGTTGTTGGTGGTGTTGCTGTTGCTGTTGCTGTTGCTGTTGCTGCTGCTGCTGCTGCTGCTGCTGTTGTTGTTGTTGTTGTTGTTGTTGTTGTTGTTCTGTTTTGTTAAGAGAATACAAGGTTCCTCATTTGGTTAGTGGAGTTTGGGTGTTTCCCCCTGCCGCGTCGCACCCGCGTCCCCCCCCCCCACACACACACACCTCCGTTTTCTTTCTCGCCCCACCCGCGCGCAACACATGCACGGCACGTACATGCGTTCTACATACAACCGCGCGCATGCACACGCAAAACACATGCTCTCAGGATTCGCAGGGCGCGGCAGGCGTGGCAAGCGCATTGCATCACATACCCAACACGTACGCGCACGGTCGCCCAGGGCATCGCAGGCGTGGCATATTCTCGACGCCGCTGGGGGTGCTCGGGGGGTGGGGGCGCTATGCGTTCGCAGGGCGTGGCAGGTGTGGCATTTGCCCGGCGCCACAGGGGGTGTTTTTGGGGTGGGGGCGCTATGCACTGCAGGCTCGCAAGGCGAGACAGGCGTGGCATGTTCTCGACGCCGCAAGGGTTTAACGATTTCGACGCGCGCGCGCGGGAGGCCCGTTTTGTCTCGCGTTAGATATTGGTTCGTGATTTTTTTTCAAACCACAAACAATTTAAACATGGGAGGGCGCCCTCGTTGCCGCGCGTGCGCGTCCCCGGTTCTCGATTATGAAATCCCCACGAGACCAAAAGGTTTCTTGAAGGATGTCGGCGTGCGCGCGCGACGACGCGCGCGCGTGCACTCGTCCATTTGTCGCGGGGGATTGTAGAAAACTGATGTTTTTCGATAAGCGAGTGCGCGCGCGCAATACACTTTGCACGGGGGGGGAGGGGGGGGGGGGCGATGCCGGCCTGCCCGGGGCGGCGCGAATTAAAATTTTGGGTGGGCGATGGGGCGGCACCATATGCGACTTGCAACGCGAGGAGGTGGCCCAGCAAACCTGGCATTGGATGGGTCGGGAGAGCCCAATGTCTTTTTATAGAAAAGAGAATTCATGTGTGTTCGCAGTGAGTCGTCAACTCCACTGCTGGCGCAATCACCTGTCCCGCCCGCCTGCAACTTGGTCTGCGAAACCCGCGCGGCGGCGATTGCGATGGGCGCCTGGCGTTGGCCGGTGCATTTCGCGGCCGCGCTAGCCCGCGCGCGCTCGCACGCGCAGCGGCAGCCAGAGCGGCGCTCGCCGCGGGGCACTTCCCAGCGGGCACCTCAGTGCGAGTCGGTGGCTCGGGCGGGCGCGGCATCATGGCGATGCCGACCACGGTAAGAACGATTATGATATTAGCGATGAATGCGCCGATGGTGGCGATGGCGACGGCGACGGCGATGCCAACGACAGCGCCGATGGTGATCTCACCCGCCGATAGCGATATCGATGCCTTCGCGTCGGCGATTCTGGTTTTTGGATTGATTTCGACATGCGCGCCGCGGCCTACGCGCGCGAGTGGCCCGCTCGGCATGAGTTCCGCATGCGGCGCGAAAGGCCCGTTTGGCATAATGCGACGATCAATTTAGAGTCCGTATTTTCGTCATATGAATCCTCACGCTTTCATAATATGAAAATGACGTTGTAAAGCCACGTGTTTTGTATATGTTTCGGGGCATCCGTTTTTGACATTGTGGCGAAACCAAGCGCTAGTGAAACAAATTCGGCGCGTGCGCGACGACGCGCGCGCGAGCGTGCACTTCGCCACGTTTCGTTGAAAGGGATTCTCGCGACAGCACGCGCTCAAAGGCGTTCGGGCGATGTCGACGCGCGCGCGAAAGGCACGTTCGGGAGAATTTGATGAACAAGTCTTTCTGTTTCGAATCTACAAAATCGCGGGCCCTAAGAAAAACATCGCCGAACAGTGCCGAGGAACCAACAAATCATGGAAGTTGCACAGATCCCTTCCTTTTTAAGTTATGACTCCTACTCCCTATCTTCTACGTCGATACCCATGAGTTAGCCCATCAAACCTAGCTACAACTTGGGCGCGCGCGAAGGCTCTATTGGCACGCATGGGTGGATGAATGGATGGATGGATGTTTGTATGTATTGTATTGTGTGTATAAGCAGATGCATGTATATTAGGTATTGATAGTTCTATCACCCGGACCCCCCTAAACCGGACCCTCCCCCAAGGACGCCCCGGACGCTTTTTGGGAGGTGTCGGCGGCCCCCGGGACTCCTTGGGAAAAAAGGTTAGCTGGCCTTCCCGGGCCTCTCATGGCGCCTTGCCTGGCCTTGCGAGCAGTTTCAAAGCGATCAGAGGGGTCATCGGAGAGGCGCAAGAGAGACTCAAGACAGCACAAGAGCGATCCAAGAGGAACCTCGATGGTTCGAAGACGGCCCATGAGGCCCCCAAAACGGCGTCCCATTCCCTTAGGACTATGTGCATTCTTCGATCCGTTTTGGGGGGCTTCGCAGCGCCCAAGACGGCCCGATGGGCCCCCGATATCGCGCCGAGACGGCCCAAAGGGCCCCCAGAGGCTTTGAAGACGGTCCAAGAGGGTCCCAAGGCTGCCCCAGAGAGCCCCGTTTCTGCCCACAAGAAGCCCAAGGTGCCCTCATAAGGCTCCCGAGAGAGACCTGATTGCGAAAACCATGGGAGACCCCCAAGAAGGCCAGTGGAGGCTCCCAAGAGGTTCTTAGATGGCTTCAGAAGACCTCTGGAGGACCCCAGCTCCCCAAGACGGCCCAGGAAGGCCCCGAGAGGGCCCAAGAGGGCCCCAGGACGGCCCAAAAGAGCTTCAAACATGTCCAGACGGCGTTTTCCGTGCGCTCGCTGCGCTCACGCCAGCCCGCCCGTCTCTCCCGCAATTACCTCCTATCACCCTGGCTCTACTTTCTCGTCGACCTCCACGTCGTGGCACCCGATGGCCGTCCTCTTTCGCCCGCTCCTTCCTCTGCTCCCTCTCCACCCCCCTTCCGCCTCTTCACCCCCGTCCTCATCCCTGCTCCCTTCCCGTTTCCCGTTCATGGACAGGTGCCATCGCAACAGTGTGATATTTCGTCGTTTGTCACCACTTTTGTGCCTGAAGAAGCCAGCATTCCTTCCCCACTCCTGCGCACAAACGTGCATGTGCATTCGGCGAAGGCGGTGTCAGCAGGCACCAGGAACATCAGATAAATGAGCCGATCGCCCGTCCATTCCTCCTTTTGAGGCAAGCGATGATAGATTGCTTTGCCGGGGAAGCGTCGGGAACAAGGCGCATGGCGCGAAACGCCAGTGGAGTCTTGCATATGCGTACGTATATATATATATATATATATATATATATATAAATATACATAATATGTATATGTGTGGTTTTGACTCTACCTACGCATGTACAGAGAGAGAGGGAGGGAGGGAGGGAGGGCAGGAAGTGGGAGACAATGCGAGAGAGAGAGAGAGGGAAAGAGAGAGAGAGAGAGAAGGAGAGGGAGAGAGAGAGAGAGAGAGAAAGAAAACAAAAAAGAGACAAAAAGAGTTCACCGGCCACGTGGGCTGTAGGATTTAGCTGGGGTTCGGTTGGATCCTACATGGGCGCGCTTCGCGGGGGCGTCTTGTTTCGCGTTTCCCCGGGCGCGCGCGCGGTTTTCCGCCTGCGCTGCCCCGCCGCCACGCTGCGCAGTGGGAAAAGCGAACTGGTCGTGCGGCGTGGCGTGGGGACCGCTGCCGCGCCCACGATCGAGGAGGCGGCCGCTTTGCCGCTCCTGCTGCAGACGGGGGCCCAGGACGCCGTGCAGCCCAAAGCAGGCGGTGAAGGCCGCGTGCGCACTGGTCGGTGAGGATTCGGCGCGGCCCGGGCTGAGCCGCATGGGTCAACGGTTGCTTGGCGCGTGCGGCCCCGCTCGGGGGCTGCCAGAAGGACCCTGCGCTTCGTCGTGTCCCCTTCCAGGCGCGGTTGGGCGCGCAAGCGGTGCTAGGGAGAGAGAGAGAGAGAGAGAGAGAAGGAGAGGGAGGGAGAGAGAGGGAAAGAGGGAACGAGAGAGAGGGAGGGAGGGGGGGAGGGAGAGAGAGAGAGAGAGAGACAGGGAGCAAGGGAGGGAGAGGCAGGGAGAGAGAAGGAGGAAGGAAGGGAAGGAGGCGGGAGGGAGAAAGCCCGTGGGGCGCACGCGGAAGCCGCAGAGGACCGCAGAAGAGAGGCCCGCAGCCGGTCCGGCGCGCCGGACCTCCGCGGGCCCCGCCGCTCCGCTCGCCCCAGTCCGTCTCTTGCGGTGCGGTTCCAAGCTGGAGGGTCGAAGTGGGTCGGGGGCGTCGATACAGTTCAAGCAGTGGCAAAGCGTCCTGGCTTCCCTATAGCCCCACCAAAAAATTATAAGAACCTTTTGTGGCTTCCACGAAATATTCTCAGAGCATTTCTAACGGAGTCTGTGCTGTGTTAAAACATCAGGCTTGTGTTCTAAAATTGTTCTTGGAACACTGTTGGGTTCAACGAACATTTCGTGGTAGGACTATAGGAATGCCGGGACGGTCGGTCCTGCTCGAACAGTGGAAGCCCATGGCAAGAAACATCTCGCTTGCCTCCAGGAGGGTGCCCTGGGTGTCTTGGGTTTTGATGGTTTTGCTGTGGACGGCGCGACGCTCCAGCACCAAAAGTCCATGGACGTCCTGGGGTCTCAGGGTTGGGTTTCTTCTGGAATGTTTCTTGTGGTCGAGCTCCTATTGTAGGGGATCGAACAATGACATACACATCAAAACTCGGGGGGCCGCGCGGTTTTCTCGTATCGGCGCCGGACCCCCGTCGCGGACGCCGCCCTTGGCGCGCTGCGCGCGCCAGGGAGGGGGGTGCTTGTGCGTGCGCGAGCAGTGCGCAGTGTGGATATCGTGGCGGGGGCATGGAATCTACAAGATTCATGGCCCCCTCTCATATTTCCAGACGTTCCCTGGCCCCCCCCCGTCCTCGCACACGCCTCAGACCACGATGCGCCAACCCCATTCTCCCGGACGCCGCTTCGGCGCATCCGAACTGGGACAGAGACTCGGGACGAAAATCAACATGCTGCGACGAGACTTACACATATCGACCGCCCCTTGCCAGGCCCATCCTGGGCCCAGGATCGATGCGTATGCCCAGCCAGTACTTTTTGCAGCCCCAGGACCCCCCGCCCCCCGGGACCCCCTCCGTGGACCTCCCCCCCGTATCCCCCCCCCCGACGGGGGAGGGATCAAAGGGAACGGGCTTCCCTTCGATTCGATTACGACGGTGCGAGGTTTTCTCTCGTTGACAGGCTGGAGGAGGGTTCAGGGAAAAGGGACGACGCAGACGACGACTGACGGAAACGACGACTCGAACAGACAAACCCCTCGCACACGCCGACAGGGTCGGCGGATTTCCTGGTGAGTGGCATTTGAGTAAATTTTTATATCTCGAATTGCTTTCGGCCCATCCCGCCACTGTGCCTGGGTTGTGGGTCAGAGTTCTCAGAGATGCTTTTTTCGGGTCCTCGGAGCTCTTGGGCCTCCTGGGGGTCCCTCGGGGCCGAGGGCTCGAAATGTCCATCGGGTTCCCCATCTGGGCCTCCTCTTGTGGCCGTCTTTGGGCCCTCCTGAGCCGTCTTGGGCGCCTCTTGTGCCGTCTTGGGGTCGTTTTGGGCCGTCTTGAGGCGATCTCTGGGGCCTCGTTGGTCGTCTTGGAGCGTGGGGAAACCGAAAGGCGCGAACGCTGAAACCCCTCAAGCACCTAAGGAACATCAATGGATTCAGCCTCTTGGGAGGCCTCTTGGAGGTTCAGCCTCTTCGGAGGCCTCTTGGAGGTCTCTTGGACCGTCTTGGGACCGTCCTGGGCATCTTGGAAAGCTCTTGGGCCGCCTCGGAGGCTTCTTGGGCCCTCCTTGGGCATGTTTGGGAGCCTCTGCTCCTGTTTTGGGGTCCTGTTGGGAGGGGTCACCGTTCCACAAGCCCACGCGACACACCCCGGATCGCCGAGGGGGGCCCGGCGGCGCCTGGGAAGCCGCGAGGGTCCAGGCAATTACAAAAACCTTTCAACCCTGGAATGTCTCAGGGCTGCAGGAGCAAATAGTCTGGGGCCGATGGTTTGACCATGTTTGACAATGTTGTTCTATGGTTTGGCTATGTCTTATTTTTCGTCCAAAATCCGCCTGTAGGGGAACATGCCTGACCTAACACTACGTGCTGAAGGCACGGTGGCGGATATTTTCGGCGGCGAGCGAGGGGGGGAAGTGAGAAGGAGAATGCCTTCTCAGAAGGTTCTCAGAAGGCGGCGGGGCTTCTCAGAAGCCCTCTGGCCTGAGGCATGTTCTGTGTCTTCGGGGAAAGCTCAGACAATTTCTCAGAAGGCCAGGGAACTTCTGAGCCTTCTGAGAAGGCCCGCACTTTCTCACCTTCCCCCCAGGCGCGCCGCCTACATGTTGCACTTACACTTGCTCGGGGTGGGGGGTCACCACCCAGGAGAGGTTGAATTCGGCATCGGGCTGGTGGTGTCCTGCTGGTCCAGCCGAATCCAGCGCAGCCCAGTTATAATCCTGACTAGCCCACCTTAACGACGATTTGTTCGCGCATCCGCACCAGCCAATCTAGAAACGATCGCCGGGCGAGTTGTTTTGATCACGGTAGTGAAGGCACATCTAGTGGGACGGGCAGTGCATTTAGCCGACAAACCAACGTTCGGATTTTGTTTGATTATTCCTAGGAGTGGGAATGTTGAGCTTGCCGTCGAATGACCAGGATGCGGAGGAGAAAGTGGAGAAGATTGAGGGGAGGAGCGGGGAGGGTGAAGAGGGAGTTGGGAGAAGGAGAAGGAGGAAGAGGAAGACAAGGAAGAGGAGGATGAGGAGGAGGCGACGGCGACGTCGACGACATTTTGGCCTTTGCGGATCTTTCGCTCTGGGAGCTTCTTAGAGTCCTCTTGGAGCCATCTTGGAGCCCTCCATGTTTAGGGGGCGTTGATAGCATATTAGGGCCGCTCTCTTGGGGCCCCTTGGGGGCCTTTCGGGCCGTCTTGGCGGCCATCAAGGCGGCGTGGATTAGCACCGCCCCTCTTGAACCCAAGAGCTGCTCCTCGGGGCCCTGTTGGGGCGCCCTCGGAGCGGTCTTGCGCGCTCTTGGGGCCGTCTTGGAGCCCTCTTGGGCCCCTCTTCGGCTCTTAGAAATCCAGCGATCTTGAGGTCTTTAGAGGCCCACTGGAAGCGAACAGTCGAGGAGACAGACACTAATTATCCGTAGGTGTTCTCTGCAGATTTGGGCCTGGGGGTTCTGGTGGTGGCCGCCACCACTCGGAGCCGTCTTGGCGAGGTCTCGGGACCTCTTGGATGCATCGTGGAGGCCATCTTCATCCATCTTCGGCTTTCTCATGCCACCCTGCAGGTCGTCTTGGGCCATCTCAGGCCATCTCGGAGCCGACGTGGGTCAAACGGGACGCTCCGACACCTCGCCGGGAGGCCCGAAGGGCTCCCCTCCCCGAAGGGAAGAGGGGTTGTGGAAGAGGCAAGGAGACCCTCGTTAGGCCACCTGTCGCCCACAGGGCTGGTGGGATGCTGGGGCGCATCGATTCTGCAGTCGATCCCCTGCTCGAGCCATACGGGTCGACTGCAAGCTGCTGACTTGCAGTCGGCCGCTCGGCCTGAGGGCGTCCTCGGGCGGCTCCCGCGCCGCCCGGCAGGACCGCAGGAGGGCGGCGCGCAGCCGGTCCGGCGCGCAGGACGGCCCCGCACGGGAGGGCGGCAGAGGAGGCCCTCCGGAGTCCTCGGGGGCAGATGCGGCTGCGTGCCCAGATCCCCCCGGGTCATGAAAAAATCGTGACGGGAGGGTGTTCTCAATCTTCGGCCTCTCGGGGCCCGTGCACGGGGCATCGGGACCCTCAATGAACGACACGGGCTGAAAAACCGGTCCCGAGGAATGGGTCGAGCCCTCTGGGGGTCGACGCGTTATGAAATTATCCCGGCAAAGCAACCTAACAGCGATGTGTAGAAGCATATCTGAAAGCATTCCCCTTAAGATTCAGATGAAAATCCAGTTGTAGAATTCTGCTGTTCTCGCAGTTGTAGTCGCATTCGCGATGACAGTCGCAGCGGCAACGGCAGTCGCAGTCACAGCCTCAGCCTCAGCCTGCCTCAGCCTCAGCCTCAGCCTGCCTCAGCCTCAGCCTGCCTCAGCCTCAGCCTCAGCCTGCTTCAGCCTCAGCCTCAGTCTGCCTTCAGCCTCGGCCTCAGCCTCAGCCTGCCTCAGCCTCAGCCTGCATCAGCCTCAGCCTCAGCCTCAGCCTGCCTCAGCATCAGCCTGCTTCAGCCTCAGCCTCAGCCTACCTCAGCCTCAGCCTCAGTCTGCTTCAGCCTCAGCCTCAGTCTGCCTTCAGCCTCGGCCTCAGCCTCAGCCTGCCTCAGCCTCAGCCTGCCTCGGCCGCAGCATCAGCCTGCCTCAGCATTCAAAATGTGGCCCAGGAATGGAGTTCTGGGAACTAGAAGAACACGAAGTGGCCTACAGTTGGCTCCGGGCATTCAAAATCATGCCCAGGAATGGAGTTCTGGGAACTTGAAGAGCACGAAGTGGCCTACAGTTGGCTCCGGGCATCCAAAATGTGGCCCGGGAATGGAGTTCTGGGAGCACCAAGAGCGATTTTGCGAGGATGTCCCAAGCGATTTGGGCTTCGGCGGCGGCCGCACCGGCAGCCTGTCCGGGTCCCGCCCCGACCCCCCTGTGGAGTCATCTGCTGCTCTCTTTTGAGACCACTAGAAACCTATCAGCAAAAGCTGTTAGGTAAAAATCACGGCGTCGGGGGTCTGGGTGCCTCGGGGGCTTGTACGGCCCAGGCAGGAGGTGCCCCGGCGGCCGCAGCTCTCCGGGATCCTCTGCGCCCCGCCTTCGCGACAGTCCTCTGGCGGCGCGCAGAGGGGGGCAGGGGGAGGGGGGAAGGCTTCTCAGAAGGAGGCTGCTTCTTGGAAGCCGCGGGCCTTGCATTGACAGACAAGGCCCGCGCCGTCTAAGAAGCAGGGGTGCTCCTAAGAAGCCTTCCCCCCTCCCCCTGCCCCCCTCTGCGCGCCGCCGAGTCCTCGTGGCCCGGGCCGGCAGGGGCAGCTGCGGCCTCGTGCCTCGGGGGGCCAGAGGCCAGAGTGCTCCCGGGCCGCAGCTCGTCTGAGGGCGGTGCGGGCGTCCAAGGTCGGGCATAGCCAGGACACCATGGTAAGGGGGCCCAGTTAGTGGTAGGGCCCCGGAGCCCTTCATTCAAGTCGGGCCTGCCCCTACAGGGGGATTTTCGACGAAAAAAAAAATTACCCCCAAAATACCCCCAAAAGATCAAACAGATACCCCAAACATAGTCCCCAGACTATTTTTGAATTTTTTGTTGAACATTTTTGGGGTATTTTTTATTTGTCGTCGAAAATCCCCCTGTAGGGGGACACGACCGATGGTAAGGGGGCCCAGTTAGTGGTAGGGCCCTGGAGCCCTTACATTGGCCAGATAATCGCTAAGCCAGGTATGCCGCAAGTGGTGTTTTTTTCGGGTGACGGCAATTCCCGTGAGTGGAACGGGGCGGGGGGCGGGGGCTTCCCCCAGTACACATCACTAAACCAGGTCCCACTGAACCCAGTCTTGCCAACGCCCTACAAGAGGCGGGGTGATTGCCGAGGCGGGGAGGGTTTCTCTGGGCCTCCCGCGGCGACGAGCGACGGGGGGAAGTGAGCAGGAGGAGGCCTTCTCAGAGGGCGGCGGGGCTTCCCACAAGCCGTCGGGCCTTCTGAGAGGTTTTCTGTGTCTCCGGGGAAGGCTTAAGTCGGGCCTGTCCCTCTACAGAAGAGATATTCAAAAATAGTCCAAATATTGTATGGGGACGACTTTCTGGGTATTCTTGAGCATTTGGGGGGCATTTTTACCTAACAGCTTGTTCTGATAGGTTTCTAGTGGTGTCAAAAGAGAGCAGCAGATGACTCCACAGGGGGGTCTGGGCGGGTGCCGGACAGGGTGCCGCAGAAGTCGTTTTAAGCCAACAGTCACACACTTCGTGCTCTTCGACCTCCCAGAATTCCATTCCCGGGCCACATTCTGAATGCCCGGAGCCAACTGTAGGCCACTTCGTGCTCTTCGACTTCCCAGAACTCCATTCCCGGGCCACATTTTGAATGCCCGGAGCCAACTGTAGGCCACTTCGTGGTCTTCGAGTTCCCAGAACTCCATTCCCGGGCCACATTTTGAATGCCCGGAGCCAACTGTAGGCCACTTCGTGCTCTTCGAGTTCCCAGAACTCCATTCCCGGGCCACATTTTGAATGCCCGGAGCCAACTGTAGGCCACTTCGTGCTCTTCGAGTTCCCAGAACTCCATTCCCGGGCCACATTTTGAATGCCCGTAGCCAACTGTAGGCAACTTCGTGCTCTTCGACTTCCCAGAACTCCCATTCCTGGGCCACCTTCAGGAGGGAGGACGCAGGGGCAGAGCACGACGAGGAGGAGGACGAGCAAGACCAGGAGGACGAGGACGAGCAGGAGCAGGACGAGGAGCAGGAGGAGCAGGAGAAGAAGGACGAGCAGGAGGAGGAGGAGGACGAGCAGGAGGAGGAGGACGACCAGGAGGAGGAGGACGACCAGGAAGAGGAGGAGGAGGAGGAGGAGGAGGGGAGGGGGAGGACTACCAGGAGGAGGAGGAGGAGGAGGAGGAGGAGGAGGAGGAGGAGGAGGAGGAGGAGGAGGAGGAGGAGGAGGAGGAGGAGGACGAGGAGGAGGAGGAGGAGGGGGGGGGAGAGCTGCCTTTTCGTCGAGATGCTGTTCGACCCAGAGATGCTCCTACACATGGCTGTTAGGTTGCTTTGCCGGGATAATCTGCATATGTTTAGCTTTCGCGAAGGCCCCGAAAACTCCTCCGGCGGCCGGGGGGGGCATCCGAGCCTTCCTGAGGAGGTCCGCCCCGCCTCACTGCCCCCAGGGGTCCTCGCCGCGGAAGGGCGGCGGCGGAGGAGGCGGGGCGAGGGTCGAGGTGGGGAGACGAGGATCTCGCTAGGCGTATTCCAAATCCCTTGTTAATCGACCCCCCTAAAAAATCTGACCCCCCTCCAAAATGCGAATTCTGGACCCCCCTCTTCGACGGGGCGCCTTAATAAACCGGACCCCCTAAGCTCCAATCCAAAAAAACGCGCCCTAATAAACCGGACCCCCCAGCTACAAAAAAGGCGCCGAAAGAATCCGGACCCGGGGGACGATTACTAAGGGATTTGGAGTAAGTCGGGCGTGTCCCTCTACAGGAGGAAATAGTCAAACATATAGTCTGGGGACTTTTTTTAGATAGCATTTTTTGTTCTTTTGAGTATTTGGGGTGTCTTTTTTATCATTCCTCCAAAATCTGCCTGTAGGTGGACATGCCCGACCTAACCTTAGGCATCCCACATGGCTTGGCTAGATGGGGCCGGAGGATCGCGCCGCATCAGCGATGCATCGGCGATGCGGCTCAATGTGGAGCTCAATTTTCTTCTCCACGCCAACGTCGCCGATGTATCGCCGGCGTCGCCGATGTATCACCGATGAATCGCTGATGCGGCGCGATCCTCTGACCCCATCTACTCTGACCCCATCTTGGAGGCCTCTAGTCTCAGGGGCAACGACAAGGGGAGACTCCGAACATGGCTAGGATAGGGAGAAGTCGTTCCAGAGCGTTTCGGGGCGCTCTCAGAGCGTTCCGGAGCGCTCCGTGAAGGCCGCGGCGCCTGATGCGTCCTCCAGAACCGCTGGATCCCAGAGTTCGGTGTTTCCCTTGTCCTGGCTTCGTCGTAGGGCTGGCCCGAGGGGGGGTCCCCGATCGCCCGTTCCTCCCCGATTGGGGCCTGGGCGGCATCGAGGATGTATCGCCGATGGATCGGCGATGTATCACCGATTCCTGGTGGATGGTTCCCCCTCCGAGCCAGTCTGCCCCCCCCTCGTTCCCCCCAGAGTCGGGGTTCGAGGTTCACGTATCGAGGTTCGGGGAGATGCTTCGAGCCGTGCCTCTGCGGAGGCCGTGTCCGGGGGTCTTCGGGGGCCCGTCAGGTTATGGTCGATTTGGGGAGGCGGGCTGGTGGCGGGGGAAACTTGGCGAGGATGGCACCTGTCCAGGCAGGCGTAGGTCGAGTGGGGTGCGGTCGGAGAGAGCATGGTGTCGGAGGCCAGGAGGTTGACACCACCACCACGACCGGCGGTGTGCCTCCGCCGAGGGAAGATGGTCCCGATCTTGGTGATGTCGGCGCCACCCCAACATACCAACATTAAGTCGGGCCTGTCCCTCTACAGAAGGAACAATCAAAAATAGTCTAGACATGTTCTGGGGACGAGTTGTTTTACTTGTTTTTGCCTATTGTTGAGCATTTTGAGGTCATTTTTGTTTTTTCGTCAAAATTTCCCCTGTAGGAGGACATGCCCGACCTAAAACTAATTCTATGTATGCGCCGCCCCTCCAGGGGCGACGCGCGCACCGAGAAATCTTGTAGCGTATGCGTCGTGGCAGGCGCTTTCTGGCCGTGCCGCTCGAGGAATGATGCATTATGAGATGTGTGCACCATGTGTTCGGATTGGACGCGAGCCTCCGAGGATGACGCACAGTACTAGTACTTCCTTGTGCGTCCCATGATGTTGGTGAATTTCTGGTCTCGTAGGTTCGACTAGGGGATCAACTACAGAATTGATATACCCCGAAATTTATTTGTCCGTCGGATGTCCCGAACATGCATAGGATGATCTCTCGGAGCAACCTACGCATGTCCTCGTATATTCGGCGGACAAATCAATTTTGGGGTGAATCAGTTCTGTAATCGATCCTCTATTGAATCGGTGGCCCAACGATTACCACTAGCACCAACAGCCAGGATCATCCTCCCCTGGTTGAGGCAATCCCCCGTGTCGGCGTCTTTGTTCCACTCCAGGCCTCCAGGGGCGGAGGCCGAGGGCCCAGACATTTGGCGCTCTGATGTTTCCATGCGTGGGCCCCCCCGTACCCATCGGTCGTTGAAAGTAGGTGTTTCGGGATCTCCCAGGTTCCAATCGACTTCCTTCGCCCTGCTGCTTCTATGGTCGAGTGGCTTCATCTTTTCCGATCTCTTTAGGGGGCGGGCGGACACCCAATCTTTTTTCAACGCTTTCATCCTTGATATTTCGACCTACTTTTCAACCTACTTTGGCCTTGATCGCCAGAAAGAATTTCGAGCGCCCAACAAGTACCGAAACTCAAGGGTTTTCCCATGTCGGGCCCTGGGAGACACTCGTCCGACACTGTTTTGACACTCTCTCGACACTCTCTCGACACTGTTCCGGGTGCTCGAAATGATTCCTGGGATGTGGTCCTCAAGTACGATGGGAGCAACTCAAACCTACTCCTTCCGACCGATGGGTGCCTCTCAACTGCTTCCCCAAGGGCCCGTTTCTCCCCTCCCCGGCGGCACGTTGTGGACGGCCCGGAGGCCCGAAACCGGGCTCCAGAGAGGCCAGCAGTCAGGAGGGGAACAAAACACACAGACACAATTCATCGTCAATCTTCCCCAGAAGATGTGGGAACATATGGGGGAAGTGGAGGGGGGGGAAAGACGAGAACCCAGAACATAGATGGCAACGTGCAGGGAATCCTGAGGTCTGTATCTAGTGAGATTCGTGTGTCCCAGGGCCCCTTGAAGCAAATGACAAAACAGATCGGCCGCCTCGTTTTGGTCGATGCGCCCGATGTCTGGGGTGGGGGCCGGGGGGGGAGAGGAAGCGAGGACACGGGTCCTGGGTGATCGTTTTTTACTCGTTGTTTTGCCGATCGGCGCAGGCTCTCTACAGGGGGAATATCCAGAAATAGTCCGAAAATAGTATGGGGACTATTTGTTTAACAATTTTTGAATATTTGGGGGTATTTTGGGATTTCTTATAAAATCAGCCTGTAGGGGGACATGCCCCACCTAATCCTTGTTTTGCTGATTGACGCAGGCCCTCGCCCCCCCCCCATGGAGCAGATCTTGGCTGTTTTGGGCGCCTGCTTCGAGCAGGCAGAGCCTCCCCTCCCAGGGCGCACTGCCGCAGACGGCCGCACCGAGCAGAGGTCCAGAGCCAGAGCCAAACCGAGCAGAGGTCCAGAGCCAGCCAGCCTTCCGCCCAATGTCGAAACGCCGAATAAGAAAACGTTCACGAGGTTTTGAGCTCCCACCCTTTCTCTCGGAGATGCCTCCGGACCAGCGGGCCCCGACGGAGGAGGCGCCTGCGGGGGGAGGCCCCCCCCTCGACCCCCGGCACTCCTGCAGGGCCTATCTCGGGGACGCCCCCTCCGTGGAGGTGGAGGGGCCGCGAGGGAGCTATGAGCGGCAGGGGCAGCGGCGGGACATTCGCGAACAAGCAGAAACACCACGACGACGACGACGACGACGACGACGGCGTCGACGAAAACGACGACGACGACGACCACGACGACGACGGTGACGGCGACGGAGACGACGCGACGGCGACGGCGACGGCCTGCGGCGACGGCGACGGCGACGGCGAGAGGGCCTTCCGCACGTGTTTCTGGGAGCGGCGTTGGGTCCCTCTGGCGGCGCCGGAGGCGCGACGGCGCGCTCTGCGCGCCAGGGAGGGCGCTCCAGCTCGGGTCCAGGAAGTCCGCGCGGGCCGTCAGAAGTTTCTGATCATGCCGTCTCGTGTTCCTCCAGACTTGCCGCCACCCACGATTTCGTGCAGAGTAGAGCGCGACAGCCTCGCCGCTCATGCTTGACCAGCGTTGGGGGGGAGGGGGAGGACGACGAGGGAGAGGAGGGGAGGGAGGGTGGGAGGGAGGGAGCGAGGGAGAAGCGCTGCGAGCCCTTAGCGCTGCCCGCTCCACGATGGTGGGACAATCAAGCTGCCTGCGAGGCCGCTTGCATAGCGACCGCTGCGCGCACACCGCCCTGAGGCTCTGCGCGCCAAGATTCTGCTCGCGGACGCGTGGAGGCCTCACGCTTCTTGGGCGGTTCTGGTGTCTCCTCTGTGCCCGAAGGGCCGCTTGAGACCTCCGTGGACACCCTGTGGAACCGGGGGGCCCCTGCAGCTTCCAGATACCTTTCGGCGTCTCCCCAACATAGGAATACTACGTGTGCGTCGCCCCCCAAGGCGCGACGCGCGAACAGTTTCAAAGGAGCTCCAGAGATGCGGATGACGAGGATCAGAGGAACCGAGGATCGATGTTCGAGGGTCCCAGTTCGAGAGGCCACATAACGGCACCCCCAGACAGGCAGGATCTGTTTCTGTCAGTAACACCCCCCAGGTAGGGGTAGGGGCAGGATCCATTCTTGCCAGGGGCACCCCCAGACAGGCCATGTAATGGCAAACAACCTCGATCTAATCGAGGCTGTCTGCTGTTATTGTGGCCTGTCTTTGCTTGCCTGGTAATGCCCCTGGCAGGAAGAGGGGGGCGACCTCCCACGTCTCTCCGTTCCTCCTCCTCCTCCTCCTCCTCCTCCTCCTCCTTCTACCCCCCCTCCCTGCTCGCCCTCCCTGCTCGCCCCACGCCACTCCTCCCCCTCCAGTCTGTCGCTCCACATCGTGCGACCCCCCTGGTGGTCAACGACGCCAGCGTGGTTTCGCAGAACTCCCGACGAACCATCTTCGGGAGAGGAAACAAAAACACAGACACAACGAATCGACGACTCGCAGCAAGACGTGAGAAAATGCGTGAAGTGGGGGGGGGGGGCGGGAAGACGGAAACCCAGAAAAGATGGGAACATGTGGTGAATCCTGGGATTTGTGTGCATGTCTCTGTGTGTCCCTGGGCCCCTTCACGTCCTCGCCCCGCCTCCTCCCTGCCCCTCCCCCCGTGTCCCGCGGCCTGCCTCCGGGGAGGGGGGGCGCCGGGCAGGGCGACCGGGACCCGGCAGGGGTGGGCGGAGGAGCGGAGCGACGGGGGGGGGGGGCAGGGAGGTCGGGCAGGAGGGGGCTGGGGGGAGAAGTGGGGAAGGGCAGGAGGAAGGGGTAGGGGGGGGGAGGGGGGAGAGGCGGAGGAGGAGGAGAGGGAGGAGGAGGAGGAGGAACGGAGGAGGAGGAGGAGGAACGGGGGAGGAGCTGCGGGGAGTGATGGGGGGGGGAAGAAGGAGGAGGAGCTGAGGGGGGACGGGACAGACAGGAGAAGGATGACGAGGAGAACAAGGAGGAGGAGGAGGAAGAAGAAGAATTCGCTGGAATTCGCTCACATCCATCCAGTGCCAGATTGTTTGCGCTAGTACCAGGCGGCGGTCCACGGAGGACAGCCTCCAGCCAGACAATGCCGTCGCCACGAGAGTTCACCACCCGCGACGGGCCTCTGTGGCCTGGCAGAATTACTTGCTGGATCCGCTTAAGGTTCTGGCAACCTTTCTTGCTGTGGAGGGTTGCACAGCGACCCACGGGGCAACACGTAAGTCGGGCGTGTCCTTCTACAGGAGGAATATTCAACAATGGTCAACAAATAGTCTGGGGACCATTTGTGAGTATCCTCAACTTTTCATCCAAAATCCCCCTGTAGGGGGACAGGCCCGACCTAAGGCAACACTGATGGAGTCCATCATGGTCCTGGCAGCTCGGCGCCCTAAGGAGCGCCGCCGTGAAGTCCCAGAGGTCCGTGTCGAGAGGACGCTGGTCAACCAGGCCGTGCGCCCACGAGAGATGGGCGGCTCTAATTACCCGCAAGGGTCGGGTATAGCCAGGACCCCAGGTAAGGGGACCGGGTCAGTGGTAGGGCCACGTTGCCGTAACTTGTGTTTTTTCGGGTGATGGCACTTCCGTTCAGTGGAAAGAGGCGGGGGGGGCGTCCCCCAGTATACATCATTAAACCAGGTCCCACTAAACTTAGTTCTGCCGACGCCCGAAAGGGTACCAGCGAAACCGTTTCCTGGGGCGAACAGCCGCTGTTGTGGGAAGAGGTCGGGATCCTCAAGGCTCACCTGAGGCGGGAGCCACAGAGCCTGGACTTCCCCCCCCCCCCTCGCTAGGAGGGCCGCACGCACGCGAGACCACAAATCGGCATTGGCACCTCGGCAGTACTGGAACGTCTTCGTCTGCCAACGTCTGTGCAGGGTAGCATGGCCAGTGACGAACCTGAGAGGCCCCGGAAACTTGCGCAAGGCGAGATCAAGCCATCGAATTTCAGCCCACGGTGCCGTCTGGATCAGGAGGAGGGGGACGCCGAGGAGGAGGAGGAGGAGGAGGAGGAGGAGGAGGAGGAGGAGGAGGACGAGAAACTCAACCAGCAAGACCAGAGGCGAGCAGGAGGTGGAGGAGCACGAGGCGCCAGGGGGACCGGGCGCCGCCCCACGTCCGAGCCGAGCGGGCCCGGGCCATGGCGCGCAGGACCGGAGGCGGCCAGAGCGCGAGGAGAGAAGGGACCGAAGAGAGGCCGACAGGCCGCCGAGAGGGTCCTCCGCCGCCCCGCCGCCCGTCGCCGCCGCGGCGCTGTGCCGCCGCCTCCCCGGGGCCGAGCCCGGAGGACCGAGCTGCCCGGGTCGAGGCTGCCGTGCGCTCTGCGCACCGCCTCCGGGCTCGGGGAGCCTCCCCGTCACCGAGCCACGGCTGGATTCGCCTCGGAGCTCCGAGCCGGAGGCGCACCCCGACACGGAGGTTTTTTGTCGCTGGAGGTGTTCGGGCGCGTTTTCGCCTCGATTTTTTGTTCGGGTGTCTCCGTCAGTTCCCAGAGGTCTTTCTGGCCCTCGGGGATGCTCTCTCTTTGCAGCCTGCGCCTCGCCGAGGCCGTGCTGCGGGTGCCCAGATCGTCTCGACCGGCCGCTGGAGGCCCGAGCTATGCAGCCCTCCTCAGAACCAAACGCAAGATTTTGTAATGTTGATCGGCGCGCGAACCGCGGCCCGCGGGGTCAGTGTTTTTTCGGGGGTGGACAGAACCCCCAACAGTGACACGTCGATTCGTGAATTGTCCCTTTTCGGTTCTCGAGAGGGCGCCGTGGCCGTTATTTTCCAGGTTTGCGCCCGCCAGGTTTGGGCCTCAGGTCGTTTTCATTAAACCACGTTTTACTAAAGGGGAGTCTGTCCATCCCCGAGTTTTGGCGTGTCTGCAGTCGCCCGTTTCGACGCGAGCATGGAGAGTTGGGGTCCTGGGGCGCCGCCACGTCGCGGGAAAAGCCCGCGTCGGATCTCGAAGGGGGGCTGTGCGGCCCGAGAGCCGCGGCCGGAGTTTTTGTTTGCGGTTTTTGCCTGCCCTGTGCCGCGGCATTTTGGCGCGTCAGAACGTTTGGCTCGAGGCCGAAAAAAGTCATACCTCCTAGAGAGGGGCCAGACCCTGCTTGGCATCGCTCCGACGTGTGCATTTGGGTTGGGCGAGGGCCATCGAGGAACATGATCGTTCACCTTGCGAAACATACGCGCACGAAACCGAACAATGCACAGGGAATGGACGTCCGAGCGCTATCGCTCGATAGCGTCTTATGCGCGCGCGGGAGAGGAGAGGCGATTGGAGGGGGGAACGACTTCTGGAGGGCACATTTTGGGATGCAGCACTTTCTCGCCCTCCTCCTCGCACTCCTCCTCGCCCTCCTCGTCCTCCTCCTCCTCTTCGCCCTCCTCGCCCTCCTCGCCCCCATCCTCGCCCCCCTCGCCGTCTTCCTCGCCCTCGTTCTCCTCCTCACCCTCCGTCTCGCCCTCCTCGTCCCCCCTCCTCGCCCCCCTCCTCGTCGTCTGGCCCGAGCGGAGCGCGCGGCGGCGCCGAAGGTCCAGGTCCCGGTCGCGCGGGCAGCGTCGCCAGGAGCGTCCCCGCCCCCCGGCGGCGGGCGGAGGCGACGAGGGAGAAGGCCAGCCGTTGCGCCCCTCCCTGCCGCTTCGTCGTCGTCGTCGTCGTCGGAGGAGGAGGAGGAGTAGGAGGAGGAGGAGGAGGAGGAGAAGGAGGAGGAGGAGGAGGAGGAGGAGGAGGAGGAGGGAGAGGAGGAGGAGGAGGAGGAGGAGGAGGAGGAGGAGGAGGAGGAGAAGGAGGAGGAGCTAGCGAGCGCGCCGCAGAGTTGGGAGCGGCCCGAGAACAGAATCCTGACTATCATCGAGCAGAGGTTAACAAAAAAACAGCGGACAGCAAACAGAGTTAAGTCGGGCCTGTCCCTCTACAGGAGGAATCTCCAAAAATAGTAAAAAAAATGTCTGGGACGATTTTTTGTCATTCGTGTTTATTTTGAATAGTTTGGGGTTATGTTTGATTTCGTCCAGAATCCCCCTGTATGGGGGGGGCAGGCCCGACCTAAACGCAGAGGTTACACGCCACTAAATGCCAAGCGAGTTGGCGTCAGAGCCTAACCCCTGCGGCAGGGTGCATGCTCTATGCCAGCCAGTCACGGGCACGGCGCCGAGCAGGGTTGGGAGGCTTCTTGGGGTAGGCGGCACCGAGGGCACCAAGTTTGGGAGAGGCAAGGGGCACTCGGCCCCCGCACAGCCAGCAGAACCACAAGTCTGCTGCTCGGTGGAAGCGGTGGCCACCACACTCGAAGAAGTACCCTCTCGCCTCCACGCCCATGGCAGCAGCGGCAGCAGCGAGGGCAGCCTCCCCCTCTCCTTCGACATGCTGGCGCCAGCCAAGCCTCTCAGTGGCATCGGCCAGCTGGCGAACGATCGCGCTGGGCTCATACTTTGTGCCAGGCTTCAGCAGCGTCTTGCAACTGGCTGGGGTCCTGGCGATGGCCAAACAACGCCTGCACTGGACACCGACGGACCCAGGGACTGGAGGCACAGTGTCGTGGGCAAGTAATACCAGAGGCGGTGGCCTCTTGGGCTTGAGGGTCTGCGGGGTACCCGACACCTCCCTGGGGCCATTGATCTCAGACTCGACGCATCTAGTCTGCACTGCGCGATACAGAACTGGCACGAGAGTTTGCACTGTACTATGGAGGCCTGAACGCCGCCACAGCTACATTTGCGACGGCCACATCTTGAGGCCCTAACTTGGCGAAGAAGTTAGTCCAAGCGTTGCCCATGATCTTCCAAATGTCACCAGTGTCGGCCCCGCCCAATCAACCCCTCAAGCAGACTATGCGAGGGTGTCCAGCAGAACGAGGGCCGCATGCCTCGGAAGTAACATGTGCGACGAATCTTGCGCTCGATCGCAGCGTGTGTAGCCAGACCGACTTCTAAATTGGATTCCCAACTCTACCCCTCATGCACCAAATATAGGTGATCGCTGATGATGACAGGCTCTACACCTCTCGCGGGGCCAAGAGAGACCGCCTGGAGGCCCACCCATCTCTCGCTACGCGGAACCGTCTTAAACTTACTAGGGACGCTTCCGAACTTGGCCCTCAAAGGCCAACCGTCCAAGGAAATCTCCGCCACGCTCCAAGGCGGAAGCTGCCAGCGGCCTTGACGCTGTGACATGCCGTGGTGACCCAGCATAGCGAAGAGGGCCTGCCGGTCGCTTCCTCCATGGAGGAGAGAGCGAGGGGGGCGACGGGCCTGGGATGAAGGATCTGGCATCGCTCGGACGTGTACACTTTTTCTTGGGGAATGCCATCGAGGAGACGTTTGGGTTATGTTGCGAGAAAGTACGCGCACGAAACCGAAACATGCACGGGGGCAAGAAGAGGAGGGGATGGGGAGGAATAAGGAGGCGGAGGTCCTGCAGGATGGGTCCCTGTCAGTGTTTCGATACACTTCAACTTTGGCTGCGGCTGCAGATGCGGGTGCGCCGTGTTTCAGCCAGAGAGTCGGGGCTACGTTCTGGACCCTGGTGCTCGCGTGCGTATTGATCTCAACGATGCCGTTGCGGATATTCGCATGCTGGCGGCTTATCCGAAGCCAACAGGTTGGTTCAAGCATCTCTTCGCAGAGTGCGCCCTCTGTCGCACAGTAATTTCCGCGATCCAAACTAAGATTGTTTCTCACCTTTGCCTAGCACTCCTCGTCCAGCAGGGCTTTCCTTGTCAACCCAGCTCTTCAGGTGGTGCGTATCCTTCCACGCTTCTTATCTCGCGTCCCAATTCGCCCCAGCGGCTCTTCCGTAGAGGCACGGCATGCGTGCGGAGAGAAGAAAGATGACCCCCAAGAGCGCCTCCAAAGGCGAACATCATTGATTTGCCAAACAGTTGTTGACTATTTGAGGCGTTCTCGCTGATTCTGTATTCCGAAATCCCAAGACGGCACAAGAGATTCCTGAGGTCGCCCCAAGGCGGCCCTCCAGGCCTTTAAGACAGCCTTGAAATGGCTCAATCAGCCCACAACGCGGCGCAAGAGCCCCCCAAGACAGGCACAAGAGGGTGGAAACTCCTCTTTGGAGACTCGTGGGCAGTCTTGAGAGCCTCTTGGGCCATCTTGCAGTGCCCTTGGGTCGTCCTGGAGCCATCTTGGGCGCCGTTTGGGCCGTCCTTGGGCGATCCCAGGTGCCTCTTGGGGTATCCGTGGGCTTCCGGGGAACGCTGAAAAGGCGAGATGACTAAATCCACAGAACGAGCACAGGACACGTCAACGACTTCTGCCTCTCGCTCACTCCTCGTCGTCGCCCCTGTCGTTCCGCCGAGGGTGTCGCCCCTTCGCTCGTTCGGGCTGCGCCGCAGTCGGCCGCGTTCGGCCGAGTCCGTTCGGTCAGTTGTTGTGTCGTTCTTGCGTCGCCGCGCCCTTGCTAGGCCGCCTGCGGTCTGGCGGTTTCGGTCCGTTTCGGTCTCGCCGTCGGCCCGGTCGGTCTTCGGTCGTGTCGTTTTACCGCGGACGGTTTCGCTGTCGCAGTCTCGCCCCCAGTCCCCAGGTTCTCTCTCCCAACGATTGGCGGTCCAGGAAAGAGGGGAGCCTCGGGGGTACTAAAACGACACGAAGATCGGGACAAAATCGGATCGGGATAACTCGAAATCTCTGAGAATCGGCGGGTTTGGAGGATGTATTGGGCGCCGCGGCCGTTCCAGAGCGTTCCGGAACGCTCTGAGAGCGCTCCGGAACGCTCTGGCGCGATTTATCCCGATCCTAGCCCTGTTTTGGGTACACACTCGTCGAGGATGGGCGCCCAGTCCCGAGACTACTCCAGATGTCTGGTCTTGTCGGGATTCCCGCAAAGTCTTGGGGTCGCCATACATGATGGATGGGCCTGCCTTCCACCACCACAACCATAAGTTCGAGGGGGGAAGGAGGTGGAGTACGAGGAGGACGAGGAGGAGGAGGAGGAGGAGGACGAAGAGGAGGAGGAGGAGGAGGAGGAGGAGGAGGAGGAGGAGGAGGGAGGAGGAGGACCTCCTCCCCCTCCCACTTCTGGTGGTGGTGGTGGAAAGCCAGCCCATCAGTGCAGTCTCAACGTCTGCAAAGCGGGGTGGCCACGGCCCGACTTGGTGCCGTGCCTCTGCCCGCGGCCTCTCCCCGCCCGCCCATCCCCAGACGGCGGTGTGCAGTGCTACGTGGACGAGTTCCGCGGCACGTATAAGGCGGTTGCCGGGATCGGCACGACGTCCGTGAAGGGGCGCCTCGGGGGCGGGTGGGCGAGGGCGGAGGAAGGACGGCGAGGAGAGGGGCGGCGCGGGGAGGCGGAGGAGGAGGAGGAGGAGGAGCAGGGAGGAGGAGAAGTGGGAGAAGGATGAGGAGGAGGATCGGGTGTCGGAGGAATAGGGAAGGAGGCTGCCCGAGGGAGGTGGAGAAGGAGAAGGACGAGGTGAAGGGAATACGAGGATGAGGGAAGGAGGAGGAGGAGGAGGAGGAGGAGGAGGAGGAGGAGGAGGAGGAGGAGGAGAGACGGAGGAGGAGAGACGGAGGAGGGAGGATAAAGGAGGGAATTCTTCACGCTTCGCGTATCTTCACCAGAGGATTTTTACTGCAGGTGCATTGCCTGTTGTAGCTAATTAGCCTCGCCTGCTGGCCCAGACGACGCCTACCGCTCCCTGTCCGCCGCCTCGGAGCCGCCGACCAAAAAAGTATCTTCACCAGCCAGCAGTAGCAGTAGCGACGGCAGTGGCAGGTAGAGACGGCAATGGCGGCGCGGCGGGGAGGGGCAGCAGCGACGGCTCCAGCAGCACGCCAGCTGCAGTTGCACCCGGCCGACGCCAGCAGCAGCAGCACCACCGCCAGTTCCTGCAGCACCAGGACCATCCAGCGACCGACTCGAGCAGCACCAGTGCGACTCCAGTAGCACCTTCGCCAACCGAATCTGCAGCGCGACCGACTCCAGCAGCCACCAGCGCCGCGATCTACGCCAGCGACGCAACCCCACGACCAACCAGCGAGCCCGCTCTAGCCGCTGCTCGGGCCTCTCCTTTGCCGCACGGCGGGCGTGGGCCCCTCCCTCGGGTCCCCGTCTGCCCAGCGCGGCCCCACCGCTTTGGCCCTGCCCCAGAGTGCGAGGCCGCAGGGAAACCCCCTCGGCCCAAGACGCTGGCCTCTGGGCTTCCCCCCTCTGGGGGGTATTCTCCCTGGCGATTCTCCGTGAGTTCCCGCCATTCGCCCAGCTTGCGACCGTTAGTCGCCTTCACCTCGCTTTCTCTGTGCTCCACCAGACCCCGCGCGCGAGGTCGCAGGGAAACCCCCTCGGCCCAGGGCGCTGGTCTGCTGGCCTCCCCCTTCCGTAGGGGTCTCTCCCCGGCCGTTCTCCGCCGGTTCAGCCATCGCCTTTCCATCAGCACCAGTGTGACTCCAGCAACATCAACGCCAACCCCAGCCACACCACGACGGACTCCAGCAGCACCTGGCCGACACCAGCAGCGCAACGACCTTCTCCAGCAGCACCGCGACCAACCAGCGACCCATTGCAGCAGCACCAGTACGACTCCAGCAGCACCGGACCGACCTCAGCACCGCCACCACCAACTCCAGCAGCACAGCGACCAACCAGCGACGCACTCCAGCAGTGCCAGTGCGGCTCCAGCAGCATCAACACCAGCCCCAGCCGCACCGCGACCCACTGCAGCTGCACCTGACCAACGCCAACAAGTCCAGCAGCACCACGAACGACCAGGAACCCACTCCAGCAACACCAGTGCGACTCCAGCAATATCTCTGCCAAACCCAGCTGCACCACGCCCGACTCCAAGAGTGGGGAGGAACGGCAGTGGCAGCATCGTGGGGGGAGGAGTAGGGGACGGCAGTGGAGGCGTGGACGGTGGCAGAACGAGAGGGGCGGCCGTTGTGACGGCGGCGGTGGCGCTGGAGCAGCGGTGGCAGCCGTCCCTGGCACTGCCCAGCGAGATGTTGGAAGTAAAGCTGGAGCCCGCTATCATCTGGAGCTCTGTCCCGAACATTTCATGCGAGAGTGGCGGGCAGCGGCCACTGCTCAACAGGATGTGCCTGGTGAAGCTGAAGCCCTCTATCACCAGGAGCTCCTGTATCGAGCATCGCATGCGAGAGGGGCGAGCAGCCCGGGCGACACGCGACGATGACGACGCCATCTCCAGCGAGGGGTTCGAGGAACCTCAGGCAGCCAGCTCTGTTGCTGCTCTGCGGGCTGTAGGAGGTGAAGTCGGAAACCTCCGGGACCAGCGAGTGCGAGCAGTGGCAACGAGAGGGAACGACGACGACGTCCCCAGCGAGGATTTCGAGCCATAAGCTACAAGGTCGGAATCGGCACTTGCGAAAGATCGGCTTTACGAATGGAGTTGCGGTTTAAGACGGTGGGCGAATAATGTGGCTTAAGTAGGCGCGCGTGAGCTTGAGAAGGTGGGTCCGGAACATGGGTGTGGCATGATTGTGGGGCATCGTAGTGTTCGGCTTGCGTTCTCTCCCGCTTCTTCTTGCTTTGCACGCCTTGCGGCTCGCCGGGCTGCTCTGAGGGGAGCGGCCCGAGGAACAGAGGTACTGTTTTTCGTCGGCGCTGACCGTTTTTTTTGTTTAATGGAAAAAAATGTATGTACATATATGTATATATATATATATACATATATACAAGCCACGGTAGCCGATGCTGCTGCTACGGGCACCGTTGCTGCTGCCGTCGCCGGCTCCCCTTGGGCGATGGCGGTGGCTGGCGTCGCCGCGGCCGGCGCGCGGCGGCACCGCCCCAGCGCGCGGGGCCTCGGCCCGTCGCGCTGGGGCCAGCACCGCCCCTTGGGGAGCATCCTCTCGGCGAGACCCCTCGCTGCTTGCTGTCTCCCTCTCTGGTCGGCGACTACAATCGGTGCGGTTACGCCGGGGTGCGGTTTGCGAGTTGCTTTGTGGCGGCACTTCCGGGGCCTCTGCGAGAGACGATGTCGTAACTGTCGCCGTTTCGAGCGACACTGTCATCCGTTTCCAGGGGGCGGGAGGGGCAGATGTGACGGGGGGCAAGCCGCGCCCTTCGCAAACCGCCCCTATTGTAGTCGCCGTCCAGGTCCCGCTCATGCCCCCGGGCGTGGGCCCCCCGCCGGCTCCTCGCTGGAGTGTTGGTGGTCTCTTCACGCCCACTCCTCGCGCCATCTGGCGACTGGCGATCCGGACTTTCCGTCGAGCGCCCGCACGGCCTGCTCCTCCTCTTGTCGAGGCCCGTCGTGGTGGGGTGGTGCTTGGCTGTGTCTTTGGCGCTGCTCCTCACGCCGTTCTTCCACATCTGGGCCGAGGACTTCTTCAATTACCTCGAGGTGCTGCACGACGCCCAGGAGTTCGTCCTGGTGCTGGCGCTCTTCTGAGCGGCAGTGAGGTTCGCCCGTTGCTCGTCTCTTCCGCCTTCTTGCTCTTTTTTTCGTTTCGCCTTTTTCCTTCTGGGCGCTAATTTAGGGCGTCGCATCGACGCTTCGCTCTGACGGCGCCCAGCGTCTTCCGGTGAGCTCGCGATCAAAAGTATCTTCACCAGCCCATTCAGAAACCCTGCCCTTCAGAGCTGAATGGAAAAAGGGACGAAGAGGCACATCTAAGGAAACAACGCGAGCAAGGGAGTGGCCTTGGAAGGCCTCTTCGGGCCATCACTGGGCGCCGCGCGGGGGCGAGGGGAAGAGGGGGAGGTGGGCAGGGAGGAGGAGGAGGGGGAGGACGAGGAGGACGAGGGTTAGGATGAGGACGACGCGGACGAGGACTCATGTGACCGTTAAGGGGTATTTTTTTGCGGCTGCTGTCGTTGCTGATGGTGCACTTCGGCAGTTCGCCCCCCCCCCCCCCCTTTGGAACCCTCTTGATAACCCTGGGAGGCTTCTTGGGATCATCTTGGAGGCCATCGATTACAGGATGGGGGGGCCCCCAATTCAGCTCCCCCCTTCAGGAGCCGGCAACCGCTTATTGGGCCTCTGTCGGAGCGCTCCTGGAGCGGTCTTGGGGCCGTTTGGAGCATTTTGGGAACCATCTTGAGCCAGCTTGAGCTATGTGGGCCATATTGGAGGTCATTTTGGGCTCTCTGAGGCCGCTCGGGGGCCTCTTGGGGGCCTCTCGGGGGTCTATTGGAACCGTCTTGGAACCCTCTTGGAACCCTCTCTGGGCTCTCTTGGGGCTCTCTTAGGAGCCCTGGAACGCCTCTTGGGGCCATTTTCGAGGCTATCGATCAAAGGAGGGAGGGTCCCGATCGAGGCCCCCTCGGAGCCAATATCCTCGTGAGGGGTGTCAAACATTGGCCATCCCAGGGGCCGAAAATATTCATCTCTAGAGAATAGTTATTGCTGATCTCCGGAAACGGTTCCGCGCGCTCACGCCGCGACGCCGGTTACATTTTCTCTGAAAGTGAGGCTCCCGCGCGACCGGTGGCTTGAGTGTAAATGTGTACCCTTGGAGACCCTGCTGCAACGACAATGGCTCCCGTTCGATACTTCCTCACACGTTACCCCGAGACACCCTGGCCAGGGAGGCCCCCGAACTCAGGATCGGCGCTCTCGCTCGAGATTTTTTCGCAATTCAGTCCAGTTCGCAGGGGCCCAGCCACGACGACAAGAACTCTTGTTCGATACCCCTACGATTTACTCCGAGAGCCCCTGTCCAGGAAGGCCCCCGAACTCAGGAACGGCGCTCTCGCTCGAGATTTCCGCACGATTCAGTCAAATTGGTGGAGGCCCAACTACGACGACAAGGGCTCCCGTTCGATACCTCCTCAATATGTATTCGCAGAGGCTCTTGCCAGAGAGGCCCCCGAACTCAAGAGTGGCGCTTTCGCTCGAGACGCCCTCGTCATTCAGTCAAGTTGGTAGAGGCCCAGCCGTGACGACAAGGGCTCCCGTTCCATATTTCCTCAAGGTGTACTTCGAGACCCCGTGGCCAGAGACTGACATTCAGTAGCGTCGCTGGAGGCCCAGCTGCGACGACAGGGACTCCCGCTCGACACGCCCTCGCAATGTACTCCTACACGCCGTGGAAGAGGCCCCCGAACCACAGAGGCCCCAACACGCTGCTCATTGGGGCCTTCGGACACAGCCCACAGAAGTTCCAAGCGCCCCCAGGGGGGCCCCAGCACGCTGCCCACTGATGCCCTCGTACACGGCCCGCACAGGACCCCAGCGCGCCAACAGAGGCCCCAGCACGCTGCCCACTGAGGCCCTCGGACGTAGCCCGCAGAGAACCCAAGCGCGCCCACAGAGGCCCCAG